TTGAGGCCAAACTAAAACATATCACAAATCCATCAAGTCACTAACAAATGGACTGAGTCATGTCGATAGATGTAGACTGCCTGTTTGGGGTGTGCGAGACATTCATAACTGGTGGTTGGAGACTTTGAATGACTTAGCTGAAAATCGTTTGCAATGGCACAGATGCACTCATTCTTTGCCTTTTCTTGAATCCCAATCTCTTCTGAATTCTTTATCATCTTTATTTTTCCATTTTTTAAACTTATTTCACTGAGTTATCTTTCTTGGATCATATATTCTAACCCTAATCTTCTACAGTACTGCTAATACTTCTACTACACCTACCACTGTGGGATTTGAACTGACAGTTGCGTCTCTGTGCTAATGCGATATGGCCACCTGAACTAATGTACTCATGTACGAAGTTCCGCATTATAGCTGATACTAATACTAATCAATATCAAACTGTTTAGTTTTCACTGATTATTCAAATTTACCTTGTTAAAATTTACAATGAAATATGTTTGAATGTTACTTAGCCAAAGCTAATTGACAGTACCTCATCAACTTATTAGTTTACTAACAGAAAAGCATATTTATCCTGGAAAGTTAATGCCCGTAACTTGAGTATCAGCATTAGTTCGAATCCTACATCGTGTATTTTATGCAACATACACACACGTTCAAGCCTTCCTGTCAATCAAATCTTCCTTTGAATATCTACTTCACATTCTACTTTTCTTTTCAATTATAAAACAAAATATCAAGAGTTTTGCATTATTTTAATTTTAATTTTAATAATTATTTGACCAGAAAACTCTTTCGAAAATATCTCACTGCTTTCAATCAAATTATATTCTTAATTATTATTATTCAAAAAGGTTGCATTATTTTTTAATTTTCTTTTGCAACTGACCTTAAAAAAAAAATAAAAGACTGATCAGACACAAATAAAATTGAATTATTTTGTTATGAAACTAAATTTTTTAAAACAAGAGAATTGAACTTTCGCGGTTATTTAAAAAAGTTGACAATAATACATTAAAATATTTTGTTAAAATTCCTATTTGAAGTAAATTACAAATCAAGGAAACAGGAAATTTTTTGAAAAACGAAATTAGTATTTATCTTGTGTATGGTCAAAGTGAGCTATAGCTAACTGATAAGATTCAGTAAAGTTTTTTGTGTTTGATCTGCGTGAATCACTTTTGTTTAAAAACATATAACTCTATTTTGAATTGATCATTGAATTGAATGAACGATCAACATTTCCGTTTTACTAAGTTTTGGCTGAAGTAGTGTTTATATAAGTATATGAATTAAAGAAATTAAACTGAACGCTGTACTTTCAAATTACAATTAATTTGTAACTTGAAATGTGAAAAATTATAATTCGTGTCCTCATTATTATTAGGTGTCTACTTTAAACTTGAATAATGAACTTTAGTAGTAATGAAAAAATGTGATAAAGTATTACACATAAGAAGAATACATTTTCAAAATTATTACCGTGTAAAAAAAGTACAAGCATGTAATATACTTATGTAGAGGTAAACTACCGTACATTTACTTAGATTGCTAGATTTAAGTTGATCGTTTATAGGAGGTAGCCAGGGAATTTCACTATGAAATGATTGAGATACTTGCAAGTGCTGTAGAATTAATGATAGTGCGTTGAGTATTGGGAGAAGCTGGGCGTAGACATTATGATCCAAGAAGAAAGATTTAATTAACTGATTGAATGATCTAAGATAAGTTTAAAACTGTCGATCTGAGGTAATACAAAGTTGCTGTATTTGTGCCATTGACTGATTCTAGACAGAGCAGCATAATGTCTCCGTCAATCGGTTACAGGTATTCTTTACCTACCGACCAATATGACTCAATTCAATAGGCAATGTCCCTCCTATGAAGTGATACTGTAGTGAAGGCGAACACAGGTAAGACAACCGAATTGTATTTAACGAAAATTACAGAGTTACTCAGTAAAATCGGAAAACCATATCGTAAATCGTTCATTTGCAAAATATCAATTCATCATATCGAACTAGACTGTTCCCGTTGCAAACATCAATGCATTGTCATTATTCATGCGTTTCATACAAATTCCATTGTGTTCCCACTCTTCCTTTCTTGCTCTTCCCCCATCTTCTGCTGCCAGACATTACGTTGATACTCACGTCATATACTACTTATAAGTAGCTCGCACCACAATACTTCATCCTGGCTTAGCTACTTTTACTTTCCATCTGAAAATATGTGATTTCTTTCAATTAAATTATTATTATTATTCAAAAAGGCTTCATTTTTTCTCAATTTTCTTTTGTAACTGACCTTAAAAAAAGTGACTGTGCACAAATAAAATTGAGTTATTTTGTTTAGAATGTAAATTTTTCGAAAACAAAAAGAATAAACTTTTGCGGTGGTTATTGAAAAAAGTTGACAATAACACATTGACTTTTTTTAAAATCCCTATTTCAAGTATATCAGAAATCAAGGAAACAGGAAATTTTGAAATCTATGTTTTTATTTATTTATAGATAACTGATAATATTTGCCTCAATCACTGGTTTGTTTTAAAACGTATAACTTTATTTTTCGAATTGATCATTGAATCGATTGAATGATCTACATTTCCGTTTTAGTTAGTTTTAGATGAAGGAGTGTTTGTACAAGAAAATCAAATTGAACGCTTGTTATGCATTCATGTAAACATGTTATTTTGACATACTTGAACTATTATGAGTTTACCTTAGTCGGAGAGCGAGGATCGAGGATCCGGCGATACGACATACTCCTCAAATTCGAGTGCCTAAACCCCCATATTGAGTAGAAAGAAGAAGACTTGATATGAAGTAAAACCTGTATTCTATAAACGTCCATTAAGTACGAAGTCCGAGTCCAGAAGCTAATTGGGATCCCGGACTAGTGATCCGGGTCCTGGTCCAGGTCATAAAACGTTACAGATAATGCGTATTTATACATTTAGGTCGAATAGGAAAAAGAATCGAAGTCTGTCAGTAGTAGGCGAAGCTAGGCGTAGACAATATGATACGAGAATAAAGATTTAATTAACTGATTAAAAATTATAAGTTTAACACTATAGATCTGAGGGAATACAAAGTCGATTCATTTGTGCCACTGACTGATTCTAGGCTGAGCTGCATAATGTCTCCAACAACTGGTTATACAGTAATCACGCAGATATTTAACCAGGTATTCTTTACCTACCAATATGACTCAATTCCATAGGCAAAGTCCCTGCCTTTAGTTTTCTTCAAACCTACTCTTAAAGCAGCCAATATTGCTCATTGAGACGGGCTATAGTTAAGTTGGCGTAATCTATATCTTATGAGGATTTAGTACTTTGTTAGTCGATTTTCTATGCGTGTCGAGTGCCTTCAGGTTAACATCAACACTAATCACTTGATAGATGTTCTCATTGTAAAAAATACATATTTTCTATGTTTAATCTACGTTACAATCATAGACATAAACCTATCAACTACTTCCATGATTCATATTTTTAAATAAACCCAATTAAATGTCCTAACTGAATGAAGTGCATATACAACGATTGAATGAATTTATCATATTTTACAAATATTTTTGCAAAATACAATAATGCATATATATAGATTTACCGGGCTGAAATTAATCCGTTCAAGTAGAGTATGAAAACAAACCGTTGACCTTGAACCACCCACCTCTCAACCAATCAAAATGTAGTAATTATATTTTCGTATTAAAATACAATGCAATTAGAAATGGATGAATAGTTTCAATATGATTAATGAAATTATTTTCATGATAATTAAACAAACAAACGATATTATGATTAAGAATTTGAATAAGATTCTAAAACTCCCTCAATTAGTTGATAATAATGATATGAATTTTTTGGGCAGAAAATTTCTTATAGGAGAGATTAGTTGTTCAAACGTTCAGTCTCTTCTGTATTGTATATTTCCTTCAAAAGTTACTTACTTACTTAATTACCTTCTTCTGTTACCCCACAAATGGAGCATACGCTGCATAGACCAGTATTCTCCAACCTATTTTGCCCACAGTTTGTTCATTCTTCTCATGTCTGTCTCCATTTCTCGGCGTAATGTGTTCATTGGCCTTCCTCTTTTCCTTTGACCTTCAGGATTCTAACTGCGGGCTTGTCTTGTGACACGGTTGTGTGTTTTCCAAAATATGTGTCCTATCTACTTCCGGCGCTTCTTCCCGATTTCTTCCTCCGCTGGATTCTGGTTTGTTCTCTCCCACAGTCGGCTATTGCTGATGATGTATCACAAACGGATCCTCTCCATCTTGAGCAGACAACTGTTAACAGATACTTGTATCTTTTGGATGATGACTTTGGCAGTTCTCCAAGTTTCAGCTACATACAGTAGAATCGTCTTGATATTTGTATTCCTCCTTATTCCTTCAAAAGTACTACTATGTAGATTTTGAACGTATTTATGCCTTTTGGTTTATCTTCTCAAATTGAGGAGATCCTGTGAAAATCAAAAGAGAATCAGCAAATTATTAAGTACTGTCTGCTCACAACACTACCAGATATCGGAAACTAATGTGTTAATCTAACATATCATATTTCAAACGTTAAGGTTTTCAAATATGATCATGAACTGATCAATGTCGGACCACTATCGGAAACGTAGAAGACCTGAATGACAGTTTTGTCTTAGTATGGAACTCGTCAGCGATTCCTTGCCTCGACCTTCACACGCGGAAGTCAAACTTAAGACCTTCAGTCTCGTATGCGAACGCTTAACCTCTGGACCCCTGAGTTGGCATTCAACCGTGTTAATATACAACTTCAGCAAATCCATTGTCTTGAGCGACCTCACCCATCGTCATCTGTGTGCAACTGCTTCACACATTCCAGGGTTGAAATCTATTCGTGTTAAAACTATTCTTTCAGAAGGAAAAAAAAGGAACAAAACTTTTAAAATCACTAAACATTAAATAACTTATTTACTCTTATTTTTGTTTAAAAAAAATCCTAACAGAAGTTTTATTCATGGAGTCGATTTCAATGCAGTTGACTATGATGGACGTACCGGTCTTCATGTAGCGGCTAGTTCTGGTTCATTTGATGCAGTGAAATTTTTCATTGAAGTTGCTGGTGTTCAACCAAAACCATTAGATCGTTGGGGACGTACACCATTTTTGGATGCGAAACAATTTGGTCATGAAAAAATTGCTGAATATTTAGAAAGGTAAGCTATTTGCTGTATCGATCGGTTCACACAACAAAAACTAATCTAATCATAGTAAATGTACAATCTATTTTGAATTAGATGAAGAATATGAACGTGATATTGCATAATTGAAGCAACATTTGGATATCTAAGTATGGTATAGAATGTTAAAAGGAATTCAGGTAGTCCATGTTTAAGTTGAGCGCAAGACATTTCACATGGTTTTAGCATGTTGATGGTGCATATGACTGCATGATGCTTGTTTTTCCATTTTTTTTATGTTAACAGAAATACTACTTGTAAATAGTTGAAATGTTTCAATTGAAATTTTTGTACACATGACGAGTCAAAAGTGGAATGACTAACAAACTACGTTATTGTTTCCGTTCTATTGAATTTAAAGCAAGGAAATTTTTAAATAGTTCATGAGTATTGAGTCGTTTTACATTGTTGATCAAATTTCAACAACCAACCCTGAATTACAACGTTTAATCTAAATATCTGGATATCACATAAATTTTAGTCAACAAGCTGTACTTATGATTTTGGAGAAACTGATGCTCTTAGTTAGATTTAAAAAACCCGTATCTTACAGTTTCGAATCCTAATGTATGACGTGGAATATACAATCGTAGCTAAGTATGAACGTTAAACCAACTGAAGAACATTGAATTTTATATTAATGATACTTTGAAATTAATTCAAAGTTAGCTTTATACACATTATTTTAGGTGAAGCAGAATACGAAGATCATTTGTACTACTTTTAATGAACAATTTATTTATATAGCAAACAATTTAATTAGTCAACTTGTAAACAGATAATGAAAAATTATAAAATGTGGGCACTAGTGACTAGTTTCTTGAGAAAATTTTCAGAGTTCTTGTGACTAGCTGTAACCAGCGGAGTTCACTGCTCTCGGGTGTAAGCAGTAACTACCGAAGACAATGGGTAAATTTACGCAAAAATTATAGATCAATCAATGAATCAACAGCAACGTAGAACTTCGTACGCAAGTATATTAGTTTACGTTGCGAAACCACATTACCACCGAGGTGAAAATGTCAATTCAAATCTCATAGTAGTAGAGGTAGTGAAAGCAGTAATAGGATAGATTAGGGTTCGAGGATATTATTCAAGAAGTAGAATCTCGTGAAATAAACTTCAAAAGAAAAAGATAAAGGTGATGAGGAATTCAGAAGGTTAGGATTTGAGAAAACACAGAGAATGAATGCACCTGCGCCATTACAAACGGTTTTGAGCCATGTCATTCAAGGTCTCTAACATTCGATTCCTATCATCTCGCACAACCCAACCAGTTAGTTGACACCTACCGCCATGACTCAGTCGACTTTTCAGCGACTTCATGTATTTGTGCAATGTTTTGTTTTAGTCACCCCTAGCTTTCTTCCAACCTATTCCTTGAGCGCAAAACGTAGCTCGATGAGTCAGTCGGTGGTTAGGCATACGTAACAAATGTCCAAAAACCATAGATCGATCAAAGTTAGATATAACACTACTGGATGCAGTCTCAGGTTTGATGTTCACGCGCGAGACTGACGGTCCTGGGTTAGATTCTGTTGTCCCGTGTATACGCAGTGCTGATGAGTCCCGTATGAGGACGAAGTAGGCACTCAGTGCTTCCGAGTTTCTAACGGTGGTCAAATAATGATCAATTTATTATTTCAATCAAAAAACAACTACTTCCCTATATCTACGATGAAAATAATTCATACTTATGTGTATACCATTTAGGTAAAAAGTAAATTTATTGATATGAAAACTAGATAACATAAATAAAGTAAACATTTTTTTGAAAACTGATTTAAAGTTGATCATTTTTTGATTGTTTAAACATCAAGCCATTGTGCATGAAATATTGACTAAAAATATTCTTTATTTTTGTTCATTGGACAGATTTTTTTTATTCACGTTGATTAACTGTGTCCCTTTTTTGTTAGTTTGCTTGCTTATATTTAGTGTGTTTTAAAAATGTAGAATTTTTTTCCCTTTTCGATTTCAATGTTCAATAATATGAAAAGATTCCCTAGATGATAAACTACTATTGATTCGTGGTAGTAGTATAGTATGAGTACAATGAAAATGTTATCTGATGACTTTCTAGAAAAATGAAAATAAATATCAATGAAACATGTTAAGCCAATAAAACAAATTCTAATACAGTAAAGAATTTATAAGAAATGAATTTATTCAAAGTGTTAACAGGAATCTTCTCCGAGTTCTAGTGAGAAGACGTGACCAGTGAAGTTCAGCCTGTTCGGGTGTAGGCAGTGTCTACCGAAGACTATGTATGAGGTTGCGGGACTCCGTGAATTTGATCAAGTTAGACATTAACACAGTTAGATACCGGCTCAGTGGTCTAACGGTTAGGACGTTCGCGCACATTACCGAAGGTCCTGGGTTCGAATCCTGTGGGGTGGAGGAGCCCTGGATGCTCACTGCTGAGGAGTCCCATACTAGGACGAAACGGACGTCCAGTGCTTCCGAGTTTCTAATGGTGGTCTGCTATTGATCGATTCATGGTTTCAAAAAATGTGTAACTTAACAATCTTCACAACCCCGTCATGCTAACAGGAAATTGTCAAGTTTAGAGTGATTTTCGACAGATTGTTAACTATAAAGATCAATAAAGTTTAAAGGTGTTTTCAGTTTATCAAAAGTTATTTGAATTGCAAAAATGTACACACTAATAGTGATACTGATTTAGTAATTCAAAAGATGTTTTACTTTCTGTGTGATTCAATAGTGAGTGATCGTAGGTTTGATTGTGGGCGTTGTCTTAACAAAGTAAATATATGAAAGTATTTACTTATGCTTGTAACCTTTAATGGAGTATAAGACGCTGACCTGCGAATTATTTTACCTTGTTAGAGTATTTTTAGCAAGTTGGAGTTTTACGGGATGAGGTCGCTAACTCAACCCTCCCCACTTGTCTAGGCTTGAGACCTCCAGTAATCCCAGAAGGTCTTGTGGCGTAATGTAATTTATGAGATAAGGATGTAACAAACATTTAGTGCTTTTATCGGTTTTCATAGGCTCTAATATTTAATCGATATATAATCTATGATCAACTTGTATAGACCAACGCGTACCTAAACTTAGATGTTTACTTACGTAAAGAGTGTGATACTGTGCAATCACGAAGTAGACTGACTGAACATTATGTTGGATTAAGTTTAATTTCGATCTATCTAGGCTGTGAAATGTTGCGACAGATAATCTATACTGCTTTCTCATTCTTCTATTATGACTAATAAAAGTCAGTAATAACATCTTTTGTAGTAATTACATTTTTAGCGTAAGCCATTCTCAAAAATGCATATGAATCAGGATTGTTCATGACAGGATATGCCTTATGTATACCAGCTGGAGATTAGTAAATTCACTTCATTTCCGGCTTACACTGCCATTCATCCTCTAGGTTGCGCGGAAATCAATAGCCTTTTGTTTCTGATATACTACTTGGAATTTAATCAGTAGTCTCTCTATGTTTATATATAGTTTGTTTATGGTGGATAGTTTCAAGGTCTGGTCATACGTTACTTAAAAAAAATCCAAGTTGAGGGAGCGTGTAATCTGCATGAACTATACCGTTACCTTGTTTGACCAACTCAAGAAGTTGATTTTACAATTTTTCCAGTCAGACAACTAACCAACAATAGTTTAGTTTACATACGATATATTGAACATTGAATAACGAAATTCTTCTTTAAATATATTCTCAATGTGTATTATATTTATTTTATCTGATAATATTGTATAGGATGTTAAAAGATTGCACACATGATTAGCATGTAGCCCGTTTATTATTTATTTCATTTGGCGGGAAATTCCTTTTTTTCCTCTTACAGATTAATAATTCATTATTTTTTTCATATGTTATTTTGTTTTCATTATTTTTATGTTCATTTAGTAAAAGTAAACGAACTGAATAATTCCAGAGAAATACCGATGTATACGTACTCACACACACACACACACAGTCACAGGAACAACAACAACGACAACAGAATTACTGAATTCATTCCATTTGTATCTGTTCAATTATCGATTTCTTTTTTTGCTTGAATTCATTCGCTGAACAAAATGAACCAAAGGAAAAATCTATAAATCTTCCACTTTTTTCCTCAGATCTCTTTTTATTATCTACTTATCATTTTTGTTTGATTTTATTGAATGTTACTACTGGCAATTTTATAAGTAGTAACAAAGGACTATAGATATATAAATCACTTGAGATTATTGTATTTATGATTTTCGATAAATATTTATGAATTCCTGCTGTATTAGTTTGTTTTCTTTTCAAATTCTGTGCATTTATGTATCATAATTTCGAGTATTTAAATGAAACTAGTAATTGATCAAACTCAATTCAAAATTTATCCATATTGTTAAATATAAATATATATATATATATATATATATATATATATATATTTCATTGTTGAGTTCTATGTATTTATATTACTTGAATTAGGAAATATTCAACAGCATAGTAGTAACAACATATAGTAATCAGTTAGTCAAGTGTCCTATTAACTCTAGTACATATCTGCATCAGTTGTAGTTGTCACGCCATATTTTGACCGCCGTTAAAATTGTAGTGCCTCCACATATATTCGTCGCTTTTATTCATGTGTGTGCATACCCATCTCGTTGATCACATGTCTGTCTTATTTTTGTCTGACTATATATACTTAGTCATGCTCTCTCTCTTGGAGTTGGCTCAACAGCCTTCTCCGATTCACGTCGCTTCATCCCTTTCATTCACTGCTTCTTCGCTTCGCTTTGTGATGTGTCCCAAATAAACGTATTCATCACTAAGAGTTGAAGATAGTTAGCTTTACATGCACCCAGACTTCTAGAAGGGAGTTACTTAATGTTAAGTGAAGCACATGACGAAATTCGAAATGGAATAAATTTAGGGTATCATTTACCAGGTCAGAGATATATAGAGATTAAGAAGATCATATCACAGCTGTAACGATCATTATGCATACTTCACAAGTTATCGAGATGGCAATCTTTATAAATCCTGTCATAACAAATGTACCTTGAATGCGCAATGATGAGCCTGATCAGAGAAAATGAAAGCTGTTGAGGTATGTATGAATTATCAAAGCAGAATATGATACTGAGTCTTGTAGGATTATTTAAACTGAATCACATGTGGAAAACAACTGTCTCCATAACGCTATACTAAATATCACTCAATGTGCTCAATAGTGACTAGCTTCGTGAAGTTACTCTCAGAGTTTAATGAAAAGACATGATCGATGGAGTTCCAACCTGTCGAGGGTAGAGAATAACTACCAAAGACAATGGATGAGATTGCACAAAACATTAGGTCGATCAAAGTTAGGCGTTGACACCGTTGGATGCCGGCTCACTTGTCTAGACGTCTCGCATTTGCACGCGGGAATGAAGGCCACACATGTAGGTCAGTTGTGTAATAGGACGAAGCAGCCGTCCAGTGCTTAGCTGTCTAACAATGGTCTAATAGTCACTGATTCTCCATTTCAGCGGGAAAAAACAGTCTTAATAATACTTAAATGAATAGCTAAGAAGACATAGATCAATGTTTAACATTCGGACAAGTTAACTAATGGTGATCACAAAAACATTTAGAATAGGTCACATTGCTCGTTTGCGAGAGCGTGATTATTCTTTTGGAATTATACTTTTGATTAAATATATCACTCCATTCTTAGACTACATGCCTTCTCCAAACGTTGACTATTACTGTAGGATTAGTGAGCATCGGACTCCAGCGTAGAAGCGTTCGGAGGTTGGAATTGTCGGAATTCCTTCTGCATTAATGTCAGGATAATAATACCAACTTGAAATTCTCATTCTATCATTGATGTTTATTTGAAGTACCATCCCAGAGGATTTTTCATCATATCCCACTACGTCGGAAAGGATAATACTATTGTAAAATATGCAAAGAAGGAAACAGCAGACAACAGCTTTACTAAAAAAAATATTAGTGCCGGTAAAGTAACACCAGAAATTAGCCGGACCATCAATATATTATCTTCTTTTTCCTTGTCAACGGACTGATCTTTGAACATGAAATTGTCTGAAAAACATCGTCAAGGTCGAGAATAGCCAACACGGATTACCAAGCTTAATAATACTGAAAGACCCCTGAATTGATGCATCCAAACTTTGTAATTATCTAGTCCGTAGTATCAAGTCTGCAATATTACATCCTTACAAGTGTATTTTTCCGTAGGTTTGTCACGGAAACTGTAAGATCTGAGCATCAGGTAAAAGGTTGTGGTCATGCCATTCCTATTCTATTGCAGTGGATTGAAACGTACATCTTAGTCTCTTTATCTTGAGTGATAGATGCTCGAAACTGAACTATATCAGATATGTTATTTTTATGGCTTAAGTTCTAGTTTTGTCAGAAAAAGGTTATTTCGCTTCTCTTTTCGACCATTTAAAATAACAATACAATGATAGCTCATGATATCAAACATTCCGTTCAATTCTATTTTCATGCACAGTAATATCACGAGGAAAGATATTTTCACTTTTTCACATTTCATGCTGCAATTTTCACGGTCAACATCTTACGTTACTTTTGGGGAAGTTAGATCCCCAGAACTCGCTTGATAAAGGCCTTAATTTTGGACTTTATGTTTCCGAGCATGGGCCAATCGCTTAACCTTGAGATTTCATTTCACACCAGGAAAATCCTTGGCTGTGATTGGTTGCTGTGTATTTTGGTGTGGTATTTTTGTGACTGTCCCAATGAATTTTCGATGATGTTTAAATAAACGCAATTTATGTGTTTGGGTTCATTGTGTGCTGGCTTGGTGTTTATAGAATACACTTTCTACTCTATATCAAGTCTTCTGGTTAGCTGGGTCTGGGGTCAGCGGATCAGAGTAGCCTACCTGGACGCTAGTTCATTGTCTCGTTCTCGTTTATCGACTAAGGTGAACCCGCAATAGTTTCAAGCACACCTAGTGACGATCATAACACTTACTCGAGCAAGTAATACGCAATACGTTGTAATTACAGTCATTAAAAAAATGCGTTATCAAAAACCAGGAAGCAAGCATTCATTTCGCTCGGAAATATTTATGGTCCCTATGAAAATAGCTTCCTTAGGTATGGTATATATAACAGATAAGAAAGATATCAGCACAGTTGGGCAGCCGACATCAGCGTATTCAGAAGATTATTCTTCAAGGTCTTATAACCACAGGAAGCCTAAACACCTTTTTAAAGCTACCTAGGGGATGCGGCTATGGCAACTCTTAACTTTTCGTGAAGACAAGTGGGTGGAATTACCACACAAATGTTCATGACTCACACAAGACATACGCACAGACACTTTGAAGTTCACAACGTCGTCGCGCCCCCTCTCCTTAATAGAGACATTAATATCTTGAATCTAGTGCAGAGAAGAGCAACCAAAAGGTGAATAGGGTCGAAGAACAAAGCTTACAGAGACACACTGCCTCTGAGTTACAGGACGCAGGGGTAATCTGATAACTGCATATAACATAGTAAGTATGCCGCATTATTCAAATATATGTACCGTGCAGAAGCATCACCAACACGTCATTGAAGTTCATCCTCAAAGAATCGCTCAGCAAAGAGCGAATGTTCAGTTTCCTGCACACGTTTTCTCATTCAGAGTCGTCCCAACTTGAAATAATCTTTCAGGTGACCACAGCCCTCTCAGTGGATATTTTCAAGAGTAGACTTGGTAAACATGTACTCGTATACGGATTATCAAGTACATTACGTAAATACTGAAGAAGCCGCTTAATATGGGAAAAAACTGAGCAACACAGTAATAACTATTTCAGTCGTCTCAAATAATATTTGACAAACTGTTTGGATATTTCAATATTTTTGGTAGTTTACAAATACTGCTGTGAAGTCATGAACTTAAGTTTATACTTATTAAAATTGGGTTCTGTTAATGCAAAGTTTGCTGGAAGCTGTCAATATCCAGGCACTTAGTTCTAAGAGACGCCACTAGCTGACTACCGATTTCTAATTAATAATTCATGTTCTAGTATAAAACAACCGATTCTCGTTTTTTCTGTACAGTTCAATTTTCCCAATGTTGGGGACATTATTTCCCCAGAACTCACTTGGAAATGTTATTATTTTGTAACTTATTTCTGAAATATTGATTTTTGACGTCTTCGCACTTAGGACGCTAGGTGGACGACCTTCAGCTTACTTTTCCCACTCGAAGAATCCATCACTGTCATTGGTTGATGGATCATTTTAGTACGTTGATTTGTGGCTCTCCCAAGGGCATCTCTATCAATGTATAAATAAGCTTGATTTATGTGTTTAAAAGACGCATTTTCTGGGTGCTTTTAGAATATACTTTCTACGCCTTACAAAACTTCATGCTTTGTTAGCCGGGGCTGGGACAACGGATTAGAATAACCTATCGTGTCACTGAGTCATCGTTCCCGTTACGGTTAAGAGTAAGGTGAACTCGTAATAGCATTCAGGTATATCAGTTGACGAGCATATCAAATAACAACTAGCAAGCTTCAAGGCATGCATCATCAGGCTCAGATAGTCCAGAGGGGTGATAATAATCAGTCTAAAAGTATGTATTCACGAAGTCTTTTCATGAAGCTATCAACTAAAAGGGCAGTGGTCACGTTGGCGGAGGTAACACTCTTAGTGAGAAAAGTGTGCAGGAACCTTGATATTTACTCTGACAAGCAATCTTTCGGGGGTTACTTCAAGGGACGTGGTGGTGATGTTTGGGCAAGATAATCATATTGAAATGTTTCAGGATAAATAGTGTGTTGGTTGCCATCTCTTAAGTGTACGAGCATAGGTGTCCTCTCTTTTACGTGCTTTTGCGAAGTCATGGAATATCAAATGAGCGGATACTTTTACGCCCGAAAAGGTCGTCCAGCTGGTAAACGCTATGAGAAGATCGGATGCACATGACCAGCCTGTACTAAATCCATGTTTAGCTTCGTGAGGGATTTCGTTTCCATCCATGCACTCCCTCATTTGCTTGTAGGTTTTGTAGGATTTCTTTTACCCATGAACCTAAACGGACACTTCCACTTTGCCTGTATTTTGGCGGAAAACTCTACCTGGACGTGTTTCTTATCACTTCGAACCTTGAGATTGTATGTTTTTCAATGCCACGTAAGAATTACGGTCGGAATTATCCGGAAAGATCTTTCATCTGTTCCACTCGGTGAGCAATATAGTGAAATGCATTGTTCGGGACAGAATTCTGAGTTATTCCTCACACTGTTAGCATTCAAAATCCTCGTATCAATGCAGTAGATAGTAGATGCCCTCTCATAATCGTGTAGTCTGCCCAAGTGAAGCAAAGGGAGAGCTCGTTTAAGTCCTTTTTGAGTAATTCGTTAACGATCAAGTGAAACATAGCTGTGCCGTGGTCGCTATTTCCTATAGGTGTGTAGACAGGGATATCACTGACCAGGAGCTGATCCTAAGCCAATAAATAATTAACATTGAAGGGTTGCATACATTCTCAGTCAGCTTGGATCACTGGATCAAACCCTAGGTGCATCGCTTCATTTAGCTCATCTTTCGGAGCCATCGTAATGGAACGGGTCGACAAATTCCTCTCTATGCATTCGAGTAGCCCTAATGATGTATGGATTAGTCACGGAATCAGATAAGAACGTCCACTGAGGTTTCTTACTAAACAAAATCTTACATGCCACGAAGACTTTTTCCCAACAAACGGTCCTCAATAGTTAAATTCGATCTACGGTCATAAGCAATCTCACCTTCAGAGTACCTTTAACTTCAAAGATACTAATGGGAGGAATATAAACAAACTATTGACGTTACCATATACACATTTGAAACTAATAAGTAAGCAGTGTACAAATACTCTAAAGGATGATACGATTCAATGTCAGATCTAGCTAACCGACAGCCGTTCTGTAGGTTCAATGGTTCATTCCGTCATATGCCCTCTACTTGAGAAGCTTAAACCACGTTTTTATGGTTGTTAGGTACTAACGGGTCGCCAAACGTGGACGGTGATACAGCGAGGCTACAGACAGAACACGATCTTTGAAGACTTCAAGAGCCACATACAGCTTACGTTTACGAGAGCATCACTCGAAACCTGAGAGAACTCTCAGAAGTTCTCGTCTGATTTATCAAGAACTGTGTCATCTAAACACAGACACATCAACTGACCAGGAATTGTTTCATCCTGCTATTATGAAAGAAGAGGCTTTAATCTTAACAATACCGCCAAGTGTGATTTTCTCAAATTAGTCAGTTGATCTGAAACAATTGAAGCTAACTCATATCACATCACTTTTCAAGAGAGGCCTTCAAGCTGCCGGCCGATGGCACTTCTTTCACTACGTAGGAAAGTGTTGGAGTCATATGGCAGACTACAGAACTGTTTATCATCCGTAAAATTCTTTTCTGCTGAGCAACGTGATTTCAAGGAGAATCACTTCTAACTAAGAAATATCTAAGTGATTTCATATCTTAGTACCTACTGTGCCTACTGCGACAAAAATGCTTTTCGAGCACACCTTAAGCTAGTAACTTTGAAGTTCATTTTCTTCCTGCTTGACAGTAGTAAGTTCCACTCACACTTTGAGAGTCTTTTTTAGCCTATTTAGAGTATAGAAATATAGTGTTTCACTCAAAAGGAGAGACACAAAATTAGTTTGAGAACTCAAAAATAAAACTTATTTAGAACTGCTCAAGTCATTGAATATTTATGGAAAATGCGTCTTAGGGTTGACCTTCTAGAGACTCATACCAATCTTAACAATGGTGAACATCCCCTAATATACCTAGGTAAACTTGTCCCAACACATTTATCAGAAAAAGGTGGCCTGACAGCACTGATTTACGCAGACGATACAAGGACCTGGAGGTCTATTAGAAGTGAAGAGGATTCAAATGAGCCTCAAAAGGACCTTAAATCTACTGAAGAATGGACAGTTAAAAACGGTTCAAAACTAAACCAGCCGTAGTATAAGTTTAGAACGTTCTGCCCCTTGTGACAAGAACGATATAAATTTCCAGCTGATGTCCGTTCCTTAATATCTCATCAGATCGCGATCTGTTGAGCACCTTACCGAAGCAGCACCACCACGCCACTCGAGGCAATCATTAAAAAATTCTGCTCTAAAGAGCGAACACTCGGGTCCGTGTACACTTTTTTTCAATAAGAATCGTCACAAGTCGGAATACTTTTCCATGTGTTCACAGCCCTCTTAGTGAATAGTTTCAAGAAGAGACTTGTTGAACACGTACTTACATACGGATTTGATCACTCTCATGGACCAGCTGTGCCTAACTCATGTCTTGAGCTATGCTAGTTAATATTAATGCCATCTTCTCAGATCACTAACTTAATCCATCTCGCTTATTCACTATGTTTCCTCTGCCTTGCTCATACTTCGGTCCTCTCGCACAATCTTCTCTATCAACTGATAAACTAAATAATCCATTTATTTACTTATTTCAGATATCTCCTTCTTATTAGCATTAGAATTTTTTCCTTATTATTCTCCACATCTGAACTAGCTGGCTTCCGGCCTAGTAACGTGATAGCTGCTGGCATCCAGAAACCATACTGCCCTAAAACGAACAAACACATTCAAATCAAGAGACATACAAACTCACAAACAACTGCCAACTGACTAGATTCAGGTCAGTCGATTGGCTAGACCCATATCCATTGGAAAAAATGAAATTCCTGTAACCGTAGTTGAAAAACAAGAACGGAGCGCAAAGATATTAGTTGGTTCATAATAGCTAGCGAAAGAGATATTGGATAGATTGAATTTAACAGATTAGACTGTTGGCAGATTTTCTACCGTTATGAGTAGTCGGATTCCGAAGCTCGCTACAGACTGAGAAGAGGCAGGCGATTTCCCTGAAGTTATTGTGGAGGAATCTAGACGTATTCTTAAGGAATCAGGACTGTATTTCATTATGGTTCATAATGTTTCTCTCTTTTGCACTTATAATATGCCTAACTAGTATCATCGGTGACCCACTGCCTCTAGACGAGGAAACCTGTTGAACAAAAGCATCCTTATATCTGCCCACTATTATATGACCATATAGAGTAGTTTGTTTTAACTCATGTTGTTATGGTGAAAAATCGCAAAAATTTGATTTGTGATAAATGTCGACATTGGAGAAACCGTCCATAAAATTCCAACCGCCAGATTGGGTCACGAATTCATTTGCTCTGAGTGCTAATTCTCAACGTCAAAGGGATGCATCGGAGCAAATAAGACAAGAAACACGCTCTCTACGCTTAGCAGCTGCTCTTAGGACTAAATGGGATGAATTTAACAACACTACAAGACTTGCAGATAGAATTGATGCCATCAAGGATTTAAAGGATATACTGGAGCTGGCACACTCACAGCTAGATGCAGAAATATCAATGGTTAACTTAGGTAAAGAAGCAGTTGAAGAACAAATGAGAAACATAATAATACCCAAAGAATGCGTTACTGAATGTCTCACATTAAGGGATAGACGCAGGAGAATAGACAATGTCGAGGACGCACCAGAACTTCAGTTGAAGAAAGTAAGGTGAATGTCTTTTGCTGATGTTAATTATAGGAAAAAGAGATAATAGATAAGTGCAACAAAAGACTTCAACAAAAAGTAGATGAGGCATTTGAACAAATGATCCTTCTAAAAGAGGCTAGACAACAGGTTTTGCGTGATCTACAGGATAAGAATACTGCAATGGACATTGACGTCGAACAATATAAGCTAGGTCCCACCAGTCCGGGAGTTTCTTACAAACCAAACCCAACGCGAATTCCGAAAGGGTAATTTCAAATATTTTGTTGCCTTTACTATTTCGTACTTTTAAACTGAAACGATTATATGCTCCAAATAATTTAACTTAGATAAAAAGACCTGATTTATGTAGCTTAAAGCAATTTCTATGATTCAAATCCATTTAAAATGGATCTATTCTGAGATATGATTTACTCTTACGAAATGTGCCAGGAACTCAGTTTAGTGTGTAGCACTGATTATCCTATGCCATTAAAAATTACATTCGAATGGCTTTAAATAAATTCAAATGTCTAATTAGCGCGCATCGCTAAATGTGCATGTCGAAGACAAACTATATACGTATTACAAAAGAGCATTTTTAGTAGATATATCTCAGTCTTGCTATTGTAAAAAGTTTAATTTCATAGCTCAGTCTATTAGGTATTTATAAATATCAAGATTTTTAAAGCTTTTCAACGAAATTCGCAGTTCGACTTGTCATGATTTACTAGGCTTCATGTCTGTACGAAGCTGTAATCTACTTAAGACAGTTTTCATAGGTTTCTTTTTAAAATGAAGTTTTCCATGGTATTCTTTTTTTAATTGTTGGAAAATTCCAAACATTTTCACCATAAAACATTATTTTACCTGCAAAATATGAGTCCTTGACCATTCGAAACTGGGTAAAAATGTGTTTTATACTTAAACGTAAGGAACTTAGGGTCTAGAGTTCATTGTTTTGATGATTAAAGCATTAGTTTTTCAATAATTTTGTTATAAAAATGTTCAACTAAAACACTGACCCTTCAAACGCTGTATACTTACCAAAGCATTGAATACTATTGTTCTTTTTACTGAAATAAGCTCGGTTTCAGCCTTAAATGTACGAAATAACAGAAGACATAAACTCACTGTGCAGGGCAGATCCATTTTTTATCTGACTTTGTTAGCTGACATATATTGCAACGTTTGTCTGGTTAATACATTTTATCCAATTTTTCTAAAATTCCATAATTATCTTATAACATGAATAACTCATCATGGTAATTTGTAGGTAACATAATGTTACTCAGTAATTATCAACATCGGAACTGGCGCAGATGTGCGTTAGACAGCATCAGTATGCCGAAACAAAAATACCGCACATACAACAGTCGAATATTATAATACATTTGCAGATCACTTCACCAAATAGAACTTGACAGCTCACTTTCTCAGTTTACAAAATGATCATTTGATTTCCTAAATAAGTACGAGTTAGCATTTTATATTTTTGATTTTTACCCGCTTAATTACCGTGCCTTTTATGATTTGATTCATAAAATAGTAATCAACCCAAGGTAATTCATGTTTTAAGTCAGTTGCAACGTAGAACTTCGTACGTAAGTACATCAGTTCATGTCGCCATTACCACATCAGCACAGTGATATAATTGTCAATTCAAATCCAATAGAAGAAGAGTTGGTAAGGGTATTAGAAGTAATCGGAGAGGTTAGGATGAGAAGATATTATTCAAGAAGTATGATTCAGTGAGAAAAGTTTAGAAAGTCAAAACTAGAGGGGTTGAAGAATCCAGAAGATTAGGACCGTAGCTGCTACCTTGACGTGGTGGTCAAGCTTGCCTATCGTGATGACCCAACCGAGCTATACTGGCTGGAAAATATGTTCCTGCAGGTCCTACCATGCCAGGCAGGTTGATTAGAGATCGATGAGACTAAAAGCAGCTACCCAAGGTCTGAGGGCGAAGTCGTACTGCTGACTGTGATGGAGGGGTGTGACAGCAGTAAGGTGTTTCCCTCGTACAATCAGCATCTACAGCGATGCTGCCTTCTCACAAGGAGAAAAGGGTTAGAAAAGGTCGACCCTAAAAATGTCACACCTCGCCTTACCACCTCACGGATTTCCGTCTCCTTGGGAGTAAGGGTGCCCACTAAGGGCCTTTAAGAACGGAGCTAATCCTCTAAAAACGTTTCATAAAAATGCCGTGCGTGACCGGCCTCAAGCAGTTGTCCCTTGGGCTCTGCGGTCACGCACCCAGGTCTCTAAGACCAACACTAATCTATCTTCCTTTTCAGGTTCCTCAAGAAACAACCTTCCACGGTGTGGGCAGCCGGGAAGTGACAACCGCCTTCATACTCGTAACAGTACGAGAGACCAAATTGGTCAAAATCAATTCATGTTTTAAAGTAACACTATTGCTATGAATTTTAATCTTATATTAAAAAAAATCAGTTCCATATATATATATATATATATATATATATATATATATATATATATATATATATATATTGAATAATACACAGAAGTTATATCACTGTATGAAATTCGGTTCATAATACACAGGACAACTACACCACAACAATGGGAAGAATTCACTAGGTATAATTGGCAAAGAGCTCAAGCAGAAATTCGTTCAGGACAACGATTACGTGAAGCAATCTATAACACATTGTGTCAAGTATCAAATGATTTAGAAGCTCAAGCACAAGCCACAGAATTTGCATTAAGACAAAGAAAACATGATTATGAACAAGCACTTGATGAACTGAAATGGCAAAAGCAACAGGTACTAGCCAATAGTTTGTTTTTTTGTTTATTCGTTCGTTTATTTTAAAAAATGTTTGATGGCGGCCATTGTGTTTTAAATAGTCAACTTTCAGTCACTTACTAGCTAGTCTTAATGTTATCATAAGCTTTAACATTTAAAAATGTTCAATTTGTTACTCAGTAAATGATCATATATATTTGCTCGTTAAACTGCACTAACTTATTTAATTGCAACTATGAAATAGATTGTTCCATATATCTATAGAAAAGTATCTTTTGTAAGAGTTTTACTGATCATTCAAACGGTTTTAGACTAATGATTGCAGTCAGAGAACATCAGCTAGGAAGTTTTCAATGTTAAAATTTTTCCAAATGCCTGTGAGGTTATGTTTCATAACTAAGTGTATTGAATCCGTTGTTTTTCATCCAGAATAAATTATGCTATCCAGTGTATCAGTATGTTAAGATAAAGTTATGAACGGCTAGATGTGGAGTATAAGGTGGATTCACAAGGCCATTGACTATTGAAGCCAATCAATTCTACAGCGATAAGCTTCATCGTTAAAGTTTGAGTTATATTCTTAAACTATCATAAAAGATATGAGTGATAGTCTATGATCAGACAATATGACACATAGGTATTAAAATGTGTCCAGTTTGACTTCCTACATTGTTTATAACCTGACTGATGTTTGAATCAGAAAAATTAGTTTTGAATTTGAGTTTAACATCTCATAGAACCTGTATACTGTATTGTAATACGCTGTATATGCACTACAATAATAATTTGAGCAGCAATATAACATTTTGAAGCAAACACTGACAAAATACTGCTAACTCTAGCTTATTTGCAAGTAATTTAAGTTACGCGTTAACTTATCTTTATGGTCGTGATTAGTGTTGTTCGTTCAGTCAGCAAAACTTTCAGTTAACAAGTAATATCTAATTACACATTACTCTGCCTAGTTTCAGACTTAGCTTGAGTCATCTGGAAGATCGTCAAGCCTGGTCCTTTTAGTTTCTATTATTTGAACCTGACTGAATCAATGGCTAACCTAGCGCAATACGAATAATTGCAAGTTAACTTGAACTATGAGAAGACGCTAGAGAGGGATTGAATTTAAAACAAGCATTATCAACACACCATTAAAAATTAACTTTACAATAAACGCATTTCATATTCACCATAGATTCCTACCTGTTAGATACAAGGTGGTGCTTCTTTGCCTAGTCAGTTTAGAGTCCTTAGTTTGACAGGGACAACTAAAGTGATTGAATGAGTTTATTGCTTCGCTCTAAATCAACTAACAAATGCTTCAACTGGTTGCTTTTATATTTTGATCACTATTTATCTATCAAATCTGTAATGTTATATAATGAGTGATTCAACCAAACAGCTCTATAAAATCTATCATTGAAATGAATACCATATATTTAGTCAAGAGGGATAGTTTAAAGAGATTATGGTAAGCCACTCCATTATACTAAACTTAAGGGGGGAGGACATCTTCTCATTATGTGTTCATGAAATGTTCTTGATCATCATTTTCAACATTGTCATGAGTCATTTAATGCATAGTGTCATGAATGAGTAACTCAATTTTGTAGGTCATGTACTTTCAGCCGTTTGAATGATTATCAAAAGTACATTTTAGTCAGAATTAGTCAGCATCTCTACTTTTTCAGTTTTATGCACTAGTCAGGAGCTACCTACTTTAGCAAGAAGCTATCACTATTACTCGGTTAATATTTCTGCATCGCAGATTGAAAATCATATTTTGTGTAGGTATAATGCTTTATATCTGTCTGAAGTCATCCACTGGATTATTGAATATGTCACTTTGCTTAACGGATGTAGCTTCTTTTAAAGTAATCACATGCCATCAGTCCATGAAGATCCTAAATATTGTTTTATGATTCATGTAGGGGTATGTGCAGACTACCCAATCGGAGATCGAGTCAACATCATCACCAACAGTCAAAAACTGTAAATCACATATCTTAAAATTATCCTCAGTAGTGCACATCCCTTCACCACTCTTCGCTTTTCTGTCCGTCAAAAATTCATCTCACTGTCTTAATGAAGTATGGTGATTTGAATCTATGTTGGTTTCTGCCAAAATCACAGTTGATTAGTAAACTAATTCTAAATATAGACTTAACATAAATGTATAAATTTTATTGTAATTTAATTGAAAGATTCAAGATGAAATCGCTGAAATGGAAAATGATTTAGATCAACTTGAAAAAGCTATTCATGGATTAATACCAATGGCAAAACTTGCACAAACAAGACTTGAACGACGAACATATCGTCCAGGCGTTGAATTATGCCGTGATTCTGCTCAGTATGGTTTAACTGATGAAGTTAGACAAATTGAAGTGACAAAAGAAGCTTTGTTGGAGAAGCAACGTCAAGCAAGGTAAGACAGAAGGCAAAAAGAATGTGACAAGGTTTTACTGTATGCACTGTGTTTAATGTTTGTATTAGTGTCAGTATGGGGTTGTGAAGACTCTTGAGTTTGATTAGAATCATGAATCGATGAATGTTAGATCATCATTAGAAACCTGGAAGTACTAGAAAGCGGTTTCGTCCTCGCCCAAACACATAATTTCTTGACCACTGATCTGGTGTTCAACGCTGCTAGTGTTTAACCTGAATCAATACATGACATTTCGCTACCGTTATCCATTGTCTTCGGTTGGTAACTCTCTTAAATCCGACACAGTTGAACTCCACTAGTTACGGCTTCTCACTAGAAATGTGGGAATTTCTTCATGAAGCCAGTTACGAATAGTTACTTAATCACGTACCTAATCGTATTACACCTGATAAAGCATAGACTACCGACCACCATTCCCCAACCTCCTCTGTGCTGGGTCGCCCTTTTCAGTTCTATCCAACTTCTGTTCACTATATTCATGTCTGTCTCCAATTGTCGATGTAATGTGTTCTTGGGTCATCCTTTTTCAAGTTAGGGCTTGCTTTGTGACTCAGTTGATTGCTTTCCTCAACGTGTTTCCTATCCTTAAACTAAATGACTAAGGTCAACAAATGTAAAATAGGCATGAAACTCGACTAATATATGTGTTGAACAATTCTATTAGTCTGAACAAGTTCCGTATAACATATTAATTAAGATATAACATTGGAATTCGACACAATCCCTTGCAAATTTTAATAATCATAAACAACATTCTTTATGAAAGTGAGTGTTAAGTTCGTCACTAGGGACGCTTGAAGCTATTACGAGTTCACCTTAGTCGATAAACGCGAACGAGACAATGAACCAACGTCCAGGTAGGCTACTGTGATCCCAGACTGCAAAACAGAAGTCTTGATAAGCGTAGAAAGTATTTTCCACAAACACCCAGCAAGCGCAATACAATCAAGCAGACAACGTTCGTTTATTTATACATCATACAAACGTCCTTCGGACAGTCACGAAAACAGCACAATAAAACACACAGCAGCCAATCGTAGCCAAGGATTTTCCTAGTTGGAAATGAAATCTCAAGGTCAACTGATCAGCCCATGCTCACAAATGTGAAATCCAAAATTAGGGCATTTATCAAGCGAGTTCTTGGGCTCTAACATCCCCAACAGTGAATAATCGGAATTCATTTTATTTTCTATCTGAGTGGAAAAAAATGTCAGAGATTGATGAGCAAATTTTCAATAAATATGGAAGAATAGTACACTTAACCATTGTAACTGCTTATTAGTAGATAAAAATAAAAAGAGTCAGCCGATAATTACACAGAAATATTAGAAGATCACAAAACTGAAGATTGATACAATGACCCGTTGGCCTTCATTTCATCACGTATTTGAAGCGAAATTTCCAACGAAACATGAAACTTTCGTCTTGAAAAATATCACACAATAAATCTTGATGAATTGAAGATGTGTATTTTTATGCCTCCTAATCACTTTTTTATTACTGAATCGTACAGTTAGAATTTGTGTTTTTAAATTTATTGAAGAATCCTATACTCTGTGATACAAGTGATTGCAGTATTTGTCCCCCCTAACATGTTCCAAGAATTGAATCCGTCCAATTTTTGAATACAGAAAATTGGAGAAATTCAAATCCTTACAAGTAGTAACATATAAATTATTTGCTAATTAGGATGTGTGAGTCCTTCAAGCAGCTGAGTCCCAAGTAGAATGAAAAGCGCATTCTGAATTCGCTTATATCCTTGGTTGTTTTTACTTGAGTATGTCTGCATGCTTACCATGTGTATTACACATCTAGCCTGTTTTCGTCTGACTGTAAACACCTAGTCATTCCTCATTGTATTGAGTTGGCTCACTCGTTTCCTCCTTTTTGCTTCACTTCACTTGTACGCTTTATATTTTCATATCTGACTGCATGAATGACTGCTTTAAATAAGCTCATTTAACCGAATCTGTAATTGGCTTCTTATGACCACTATCGCACAAATAGAGTCCGCCTAATTATGATATACGAGAACTCAAGGGGACATTGATTCCACCGCCTACTCGAACATTCTGTAGTGAACAAGAACACGAGTGGGTCAACCAAACTGAATTTAGCGAAAATTACAGAGTTACTCAGTAAAATAGGAAAACCATATCGTATATCGTTCATTTGTAAAATATCAGTTCATCATATCGAACTGGACTGTTCCTGTTGCAAAACATCAATCCATTGTCACTATTCATGTGTTTCATGCAAATTCCATTGAGTTCCCACTCTTCCTTTCTTGATCTTCCCCCATCTTCCGCTGCCAGACATTACGTTGACACTCACGTCATATACTACTTATAAGTAGCTCGCACCACAATTCTACCAAATCGGATTCAATTCATAGACTGCTAAAGTGATAACCCCAACTTCGAATTCAGCGTAGACACTATGATACAAGCAAATTATACCATTTTTTTCGTCATTATAAAACAAATCATTTATGGATATTGAACAATTTCACTCTTAAAAATGTTCAATATTCATTTATGTTCATTC